GAGAGAGAGAGAGAGAGAGAGAGAGAGAGAGAGAGAGAGAGAGAGAGAAGAGAAACCATGGACAGAGGCATCTCTATGACAAGCTGGAGACCTAGGAGAGTGTACTGGGACTGCTAGTTGCGGGGGTCATGGAGACTGAACAGGAAGTCCTCTAAATAGACAGGACTCCTTGTGGACAGATAGGAACACGAACCAAAGGGGGAAAAAAAAAAAAACAAAAAAAACTTTGATCCCAAACTTACCCTGCCTATATGATGTGTAGGTAGAAAAGATAGAACAGAGATTGGGGGGAATATTCAACCAATGTCTGGCCCAACTTGGGACCCACCCCACGGGAAAGAGTCAACCGCTGACACCGACAGGAGCCCAGCATTGCTAGCTTCTGAGAGGCTCCACCCAGAAGTGGATCCAGATAGATACTGAGACTCACAGCCAAACATTGGATAAAGCATAGGGTGTCTTGTGGAAACGTGGGAACGATGGATAGAAGGACTGGAGGTGACAGGAGCCCCACAAAAAGACCAACAGAGCCCACTCACCAGAGCCCAGAGTGGCTTGCAGAGACTGAAACACCAACCAAGATCATGCATGGAATGAACCAAGTCCCCATGCTCAAATGTAGCAGAAAGCAAGCTCAGGCTTCATGTGAGTTCCCTATTAAGGGGAGTGGAAGGCTATTTCTAAAATGGACTCTGTTGCCTGCTTTTTTAAAAAAAATATTTTTTTTATTAATTACAGTTTATTAACTTTGTATCCCAGTTGTAGCCCCCTCCCTCATCCTCTTCCAATCCCTCCCTCCCTTCCTTATCTCCTTCCATGCCCCTCTCCACGTCCACTAATAGGGGAGGTCCTCCTCCCCTTCCATGTGACCCTAGACTACCAGGTCTCATCAGAATTGGCTGCATTGTCTTCCTCTGTGGCCTGGTAAGGCTGATCCCCCCTCAGGGGGAGATGATCAAAGAGCCAGCCACTGAGTTCATGTTAGAGACAGTCCCTGTTCCCATTACTAGGACACCCACTTGGAGACTGAACTGCCATGGGCTACATCTGAGCAGGGGTTCTAGGGATTCTAGGCTATCTCCATACATGGTCCTTGGTTGGAGTATCACTCTCATAAAAGACCCCTGGGCCCAGATTTCTTAGTTCTGTTGGTCTCCTTGTGAAGCTCCTGTCCCCTCCATGTCTTTCATCTCCCCTTCTTTAATAAGATTCCCTGCACTCTGCCCAAAGTTTGGCTTTGAGTCTCATCATCTGCTTTGATACCCTGTCGGGTAGAGTCTTTCAGAGGCCCTCTATGGTAGGCTCCTGTCTTGTTCCCTGTTTTCTCTCTCTTCTGATGTCTGTCCTGTTTACCTTTCTGAATGAGGATTGATCATCTTATCCAGTTTCCTGCTTTTTGATTACTGCTCCCCCCGCCCCCACGGCAGGGCTGCCTTGCCAGACCACAGGGAAAGAGGACATGCTCAATTCTGATGCAACTTGATGCGCTGGCATGGGTCTGAGGGGGTGGGGGGCTCTGCTATGGAATAGGGTAGGGGGCAAGATGGAGAGAGTGTCATACCAGGAGGAGAGAAGGGAGTGGGCTACAATTGGGATGTAAAGTGAATAAATTAATTAATTTTAAAAAGAGAAAACATAGCTCAAATTCTTGATTAAACATAGCTTTCAGAAAATAACACCTAACTTCAGTCTGTGCTGGGGCAGGAGCTCTGTATGTATCTACTGCGTGTTGCTTCTAGTGTTTACAGCTTGTGCCTAAATTTTGAGAGAAATATTGATCAGTGAGATAACTTGGAATTATAACTTGTTTTGTCATAACACATAATTTGCCCAGGCATACAGTGTAAAATTCTTCTTTTCTTAAAAGGCCTTATCAATCAAATAGAAGAGAACTCAATCTAAAGAATATAAGCACTTAGAACTTTGCATAATAATTATATTTTGACATTAATTTCTAGGCAGCATGATAGTGGTAATGTGGTTATATTATTTTTTAAAAAAAAATCTCTATCTCCAGGAGACGCATCCTTGAAATATGTACGGATGTGATGATGTGGTATCTAGAAACTACAAATAATATGGGAGAAGCAGTTGCAAATTTACAGCGGGATAAGATGGATGAGTTAATAATTGTTGAAGCTGAGGGGTAGGCATATGAGAAGTAAACATTACTTGTCTTTTAACATCAAGAAATCTTTAAAATTATCAACAATAAAATATTTTTAAGGTGTAGGGAGTTAGGAAATTCAGAACTAAACTTTAATAGCTGCTAGATTGTAAGAGTCCCATGAAGGCTGGGGGTATTTGTAGCTATCTTTGTATCTCTGAAACCTAGCTTAGCAACAGGTACATAATTGCCCCTAAGTGTAATGGAATGACTGAATATCAGTGTCTTACATTTTCTGATGCTCTGATGAAACATCATGACCTACACAACTGGCAGAGTGGAGGTAACAGACAGCAAGAGCAGTGGCTGAGAGATTACATCTCAAATTACAAAGAGGAAGCACAGAATATACTCACAATGGCGTGAGTGCTGTGAAACCTCCGAGCTCTTCTCCACTGTCATACTTCCTTCTGAAAGATGACACTGCAGAATCCTCTCTAAACAGCTGGGACCACTGGGACCAAATATTCAAATGCTCAAGAATTGTGGGAGACATTTCTTTCAAACTACTAATAATTGCTGTTTTACATGCTCTTCAGCATGGCACTTAAAAGTTCTTTATGATCCATATAACTGAAGCACACAGTCAAACCCCATTTGTTGATTCTAATTTGGAAGCAGGTGAAGGGGGAGGATATTATACGAATTAATAATAAACTGTAGAACATTTAAACTGCATATTATTACTTTCAAATGTGTGTAGTAATGCAGAACATCTAGCATTTTTTCCGGTAGAGGTCAGCATTTGATAAAATAAATATTCAACTAACTAGTAAAGAAATTTAAAAGCACCTAATTCCATGAGGATATTCAAGAGAATTGAATTTTAGTGGATTTTCGCTTACTTTGTCTGTTTACCTTAGCCACTGTGAACATACTTAATTTCTCTAAGCTATATTTTCTCCTCTGTAAAACATGAAAACTGAACTACAGTATTTTAAGTTCTTTTCTGTTTTAAGATTTCTATGGTTTTAGAGTAACAGTATGTCCTAGTTTGGTTTCTGTTGCTATGATGAAACTGCATAGCCAAAAAGCAATCCAGGGTTTATTTGAAAAGGGTTTATTTGACTTTATGCTTTCACATCATTGTCTATTATTGAAGGAAGTCAAGACAGGAACTCAAGCAGGGCAGGAACCTGAGGCAGAAGCTGATGCAGAGGCCACGGAGGAGTGCTGTTTACAGGCTGGCTTCCCATGGCTTGTTCAGCCCCCTTCCTCATAGAACCCAGGACGACCAACCCAGGCATGGCATCACCGGCAATGGGATGGGCCCTCCCCCATTGATCACTAATTGAGAAAATGCCTAACAACCTGATCTTATGGAGACATTTCTCACTTGAGGTAACCTCCTTTCAGTGAACTCTGGCTT